CAGGAAGTTCAGTCACCATGAATTTTTTATTCCTATGCCCATATTGTCATTAGATATATATATATATATATATATATATATGATAAAAATATAGTTATAAGGTATGCTATATTTATGCGCAAAAGTGCTCAATATCAGGGATAGAATGTGTATAAATATAAAAGTGGACACTGAAGTCAATACTGAGTGGTGACAGTGTTTCATACTTGAATGCAATCTTCAGGCCATGTGTGGTGGCTCGACTATTTATGTATGCTGGCAAATTGGCACAGGTACCAAGGTGAGATAATTCCGATTTATAATATCCTAATGGTTATTGGGTTATTATGGGCCACAATATGGTTATTTTATAACTATAGGATAGGCTTTTTTGTTAAATTTTTATTTATTATTGATTACTTATGGTATTCATTAATTAATTGTTGTTGCTTATCATTATGAAATTTAGTTGTGGCTATGTGTGCATTTGTAGTTTGTTAATTTGTTTATTTATCTTTTTTTTTCCTCCTTTTTTTATCTTATGTACCTCCAAAGAAAAGCGATACCTAAGAATCTTGAAGCTTTAGTTTTTTAATTTCAAGCTAATAGAATAAATTTAATATTTCCAATATGCAAAATACTTTGCTGTAATTCAAAACAAAACTTAAATTAATTTATTTAAAAAAAAAAAAAAAAAAAAAAAATCACTAAAAGCAGCTGATTTTAGACATTTTTAGCCATATTGACAAATCTGTCAGCATAATGGAATTATTTTTATTAAAAAATAAAAGCATTTTTTTTAACATGGACGTAAGCATTTTTATGAGGTGTTGAGGTCTTGTTAGCCTAATGTTTGGGAATATTTTCAAGAGGGCAACACTTACGTTAACAATTACTTGATGGCTACGAGGCAAACATCTTTTTTATATATATATTTTTTTTTTTTTAACTACCCAATAATCTTTCAAATTTAGGAAAATTTTCTGGTATCGAATATTTTATTGAATTTTACATACTTTGGCTTTATAGTCTTATTCATGAAGATGCATGTTGATGAAATGTTAGAAAATTACCAATGAATGTTTTATTTACTATAGTTACTGCTATTAACATTGTGTATGGATGTCTATATTTACAAAAATTAAAACATTTATATGCACACAAAAATTTTTTTTTTAAAATACCATGCTGATTGGGGGGGGGGCTGAAATGTAGCAAGCTTTTTATGATTAGTAAATATAGTTTTTACTTAAAAATAATATCAACTGTTACAAATTAATACTGAATTTTAAAAGATTTAAAACTTTATAAAATATTATAATTAAAATTTTTAAATAAATGAAAACAGTTCTTGTCAAAATCAATTATTTATTGAAAAAAAAAAAAAAAAAAAATTTTTTTTTCTTAAGACAATTATGTAATAATATATTTTATTCATGAAAGCAATTAAAAGCTTTTTCTAATTAAATAATTTGCATGTTTTTATTTTACAATTCAGAGCAGATATTCTGTAACAAGAAAACCTGCTTTCAAAAAAAAATATTGATGATTTAAATTTTCCAAAAGCTCGTGCTTATAACTAATACAAACATTAATACAAAAATGAATTTTCTCAAAATTTCATAAATTAAATTTGGGGGAGTGGGGGCAGATGTGTGGGAGAGGGGAAACAGATGAAAAAATATTTTTCCAAGATTTTATAAAAAAGTAACATTTATAAAATAATTTCATTCATTTGTGGATAAGTCCTGAAAGTTTCAACATACAAAAATTATCTGATTTTTGCAAGAATTTCAAAATCAAATGTTTTTCAATGAAAAAATACGCTAAAATTCCCTATACTAATTTATAGTTACCTGCAGATGCAAGAAAAACAAAATTTTTAAACAAAATTTTTAAGCAAAATTTTGAAGATTCTAAAAAGGATTAAATTAAATTTATATTTAATAATCAAAAAATCCTTTGGTCTTTCCTCTTAATAATAACAAATATTTGTTAATGATAAAACTTCTTTTATTAAATTTGGGTCATTTTTCCATCATCTATATTCATTTTTTGTTTTTTTTTAGCAAATCTTTGGAGGTACCTATAATATGTACACACAAGATGTTACCCAAGTTTTGGGAATTTGATTAAGCCATTTATCAAGTTAATGAACATTTCCTAAGATTCACTGGATATCACATAAAACTCTTAAAACCATTCCAGCTGGAAATAAAATAAACACATTTTTTTTTCTTCCTTTGAAGAAATCATTTCAAACTTAAGTTCCCTGGATTTTGAAGGCAGTGCCTCATATATATATATATATATATATATATATATATATAATGGCATGGAATTCGGTTTCTGAAAAAATGTAAAATTATCTGAGGAGCTAGAAATTGAAAGCTGAAACGATTCTTTTGAGCAATGTTGATTAAGAGATAAGAATCATGTTCACAAAACAAAAGAGACATGAGAAAGTTTTTCAAAAGTTGAGCACATAAAAATACCTAAATGACAAGACAGAAAATAAAATAAAACAAAAAAAAAAAAACAAACAAAATACCTGCTGTGTTTTAATTTACCTTTAACCAAATTAAAGCTAAACTAAAAATAAAGCATCATGCCTCAAAAACAGAAACAAAAAGTAAAAAGATAATAGCCTGGCATGGAAATAATTTAAAAAGGAAAAAAAAAAACTGAAAGAAAGGAGAATTATAAGCTTTTAATGTAAACATTGTCACTGTAATTTTTTATATTCCCTTTTGTATTTTTAAAAAAGTTGGGGATTCGGTACAAATTTCTGTTAGTCATTGATTACCTCCTGACTAATCATAAAAATGTAAAAAAAAGATAAATTTTAAACACTTTTCTTTTAATTAAAATTAAAAAAAAAAAAAAAAAAAAAAAAAAATGGGGGAAAAAATAGAAAGAGTAACTGAAAAATTTAAATTTTGACAAACACTCCCAACAAAAAAAAAAAAAAAAAAAAAAAAATCTAATTTCAAATTCAATATTTCTAGTCTGACACAAATAACTTGATGTTGAAATCAAATAAAATTTCTTCTCTATATTAAAATGTACACAGATGTGGGTTCCGAAATATAAGAGGTAGTAAGTGTGGGTGTGTCTGTAATAAGAAAGTCAAAGAAAGACAGTAAAGAATAATAAAAAAAAAAAAAAACTTATTGCGAAGAGTGTGACAAACTATATGCATAAACAAGAGACATCTAATTAGCTATAGTTAATTATAATTATACTGAAATTTTATTTCTACTGGATTGAAAAACTTAATTAAACATGGCTGTAAATGAAGTGGGCAACATATTTCTTTTAGTGTTCAGAAGAGAGAAACCATTTTGGGGTTGAAAGAAAAACAAATCAAAGCAAAACAAGAAAAATATCATTCCAAAACAGAGACCATGCCAAACACAAAAACAAACAAAAAAGGGCCAGGATTTTTAGTAGCCAGACTGGGTCAGATGGAAAGGTAAAGAGGCCACCCACTGAAGTGATTACCACCACAAGAGGAAAACCTATAGAGAACCAATCCAATAAATGCACTGTGGAGTAGTAATAGTAGTAGTAGTAGTAGAAGAAGTAATAAATTTAGTGGTGATGTTAGAGACATGCGCTAACATGCAAGCTTTAAGCCGAGTTGAAAAAAAAGGAAAAAAAAAAGATGGTTAATTATTTAACAAAGCAGCAATTGTCTAAAAGTCAGATATGTAATGATAAAATGTTAATAAAAAAGATCTTCAGCCACCAAGAATTTGGTAAAATTAAAAAAAGGGATGGAGATGCAAGAATGTGTCTGAGAACAGTTCTGGAGAGAAAAAAAATGATATCAAGCTGGTCAGACTTCTAGAATTTACTAATGATACTTATGTCTTGTAATAGTAGTTGTTACATTTAGTGCATAAACATTTCATACACTAAATAGAAAAGGGACAGATGTTGTAAAACTTTTTAAGTAAAGATTATTAGATTCTGAAGAAATGGTTCCTACCTTCAGCAAATCAAGATTTTTGTAAATTTAGAAGATATTTTAATTTCAACCATACTACTCCCAAAAAGTGATCTCCTAATATAAATGCCTGTTTTATTGTATATATGGAAAAACTCATGACACGCATGATTATTTACGAGTTTTTAATCTTGATCTCTAGAGAAGGGGAACACAACACGCAAAAAATGTTCTTTTATACAAGTCTTTGTAAAAACGTTCAATATATCTCAGTAAAAGCATAAACAATGTCCAGTTTTTAAAAAGAAATAAACCCGAGGCTGGATTTAAAACATCCAACAAATTCAGTGCATTTTAAAAGCATTTTTTACCATTCATCAGTGTTAAGTTAATTGGTAAAGTTTTGCTTATGGCACCGTTAAATGTATACCATTTGAAGTGAAGAGTATCGATTTTTTTTTTTTTTTTTTTAAATGTTCCTATCTAAACAGAATTGATATTTTTAAAAATAAATATTTACTTTAAGACATAAGTTCAAGAAAGTAATGAGATTAGATTAAAATTGAAAAATTTATTTTAAAAAAAAATTAAAAAATCTTTTCTTTTATTTGTATGACTTAAAAGCATGAAAGGAAATATTTTTATTTAGTATACTGGAAAAAGTAATAAATTGTGCAAAGAATATTTTCTGTTTGAATTTATTAAATTGCAGAAGAGTAAATACTAAAGTCACATTGCTTATATACAGCTTTGAAATTAGAAAGGGGGAAAAAAAAAACAAAAAAACTTATATTTATTAAAAATAGTTGAAAACCTATAAATATGAAATACTGAATATGAAAAAAAAAAAAAATCTTTCCTAACAAGATACAAAACTGTTCTGACAGACCCATTTCATACTGAAATTCATCTTAGACATGTCTGTCTGGTAAAACCATAATCCTTAACTTGAGTGTAGAATATAAAGAATTAGAGGAAGAGAAGGGGGGAAAAAAAAAAAAAATGAAGATAGGGCCAGCCAATACTTCCAAATCCACAGGAATTAACAACTACAGAATATGATCCATACCACCACCTGCAAACCGCCTATCACGCAGGCTCTCAACATCCACTGTGGATGGAAGAGGTGATGTTGGAGAGCGGGGTTCAATCTCTGGAAGCAGAAACAAACGATTTATAAAAAATGATGGCGTTGATGCGATGATTGATGAGGCGATTTCTAACCTTTAATGATTAAGCACCACATGATAGTTTTAGGATATTACCCGACACATTTGATAAATACTTGACTTAGAAATTTCAGGTCACTTAGAATAAAACAAAAAAAGTTACAGCTTTGTAGCAATTTCACTTGAACAGGAAAGAGACAATTTAGATTTCTTCTCTTAAAAAAAAAAAAAAAAATCTTCACAATTAGACTATTTCATATAGCTCTGATTTCTCAACATTTCAGTACAAATAAAAAAACAAAAAAATAGAATAGTAACAGTCTGCCAGTATAATAATAATAATAATCCAAACTGGCAATTAATACTTTTTCTTTAAATCAGAAAATGTTAAGTTATCCCTCAAGATTTCTAATAATTACAAAGCAAAAAGCTGAGTATTTCTATTATCTTCAAAATAATTAAAATATCAAGTTACATCCAAGATGCGTAAAAAGAAAAAATAAATTAGTGATAAATTATTTGTATATTAACTTATAAACTCCATTATTGTCTTTTTGATACATTAAACTTATAATAAAAATAGCAGAAAACCTTAAAATAAGCATTAAAAAAAAAAAATAAATAAATAAAAGACACCCCCCCCACAAAAAAAAAACTAATAATTGCTTGATTCATTTTCTACAGCTTATCAACCTTTTGCAGGTTATTTAAAGCCAGAAAATATTGTTAGAATGCAAGAATTTTTTTTCCTTTTTTTTTTTTTAAGATAATACTGGTTTAGTGATACAAGTCTTACTAATTAACCCATAGCTGAGGGGAGAAGAAACGGATTCATACCTTTCCCAAGGATATTTGCACATGAGTGAATATAACAAACACAATGGAAATTAGAACTCAGCTCACTGATTAACAATTCCAAGCCATTATCCATTGCACCACTTGCACATCCAAGCTTACAGCACCCAGCATTCCCAAGCAGGTCAACCATTTAGGTACTAACCAAGCTGAACATTGCTTAACTTTCTTAATCTTACGGGAACTGGTGTTTCAACATGATGTGACCATAAGCCTCTAATAATTGTATTACATTTTAAATGAATTTTAACAAGTAAATCTATCATCACCTAAAACTACACTTAAATTTTTCTCTTACAAATATTAAAGAAATTTTGAATATTGCATGTTTTCATTTGAAAACAAAATAAATGCAGTTATTGTTTTGCCAAAATGTTTAATGTTCGCTCTTTAAGGAGGAATAGTTTAACATAAAAATGGAGAATGAAAATAGCAAACATTGAATAAGATGGTAAAAATAAACAGTTTGACATAATCAAGATTGAGTCAATCTCATGATTCGTAAAATGGTTTACAGTGTCTAAAGATTTAAGGTGCTTTTGTCATGAAGTATTTAAAAAAAACAACTTCATAATGCACATTGGTATTGAAATGTTTATCACACTTTTGATCATCAAAATTGTAAAATGTGACAAAATTAGTTTCCTCGTCATTGCTGACCAAACTGATACAAATATGTAAACATTTTTTAAATATACATTTAAGAAACTGAAACAGTGGCAAAGAGAAATCATTTTTAAAAACACAGCTTTCTAACAAAGAAAACTTCCCATTTAATATGATTAATAACTTCTGTTTTCACCAAAAGCTACATTTGCCTGCAATGGGGTCTGCATTAAATTCAGAAGGAATTGTGAAGGAAAAAAAAAGAAAGAAGCATCCTGGAAAGAAAAGATTTTCTTTTTGAAAAGAAGAGAAAGAACATGTTAGATAAGAATGAAAAAGAAGTTATTAAACAGCAAGAAAATATTTTGGGGTTAATATAGAAGGGGACTGAAGAAGGTACCAAAACCTAAATGGAGTTATAGTCATATATTTAGGACAAAAAAAAAAAAAAAAAAAAAAATGTTGGCTCAAAGTTTTATCCTTTCAGCACTTAATTTACAAAACCAGATATAAAAAAAAAAAAAAAAAAAAAAATCTAAAACTAAAATCAGTGTTATTGACAAAAATTTGGCAGCACATTTAAGAATTAATTGGAGACACTTAAATTGAATTTCAAACTACTATTTCTAAATAAGAAATATGCTTCATATATTTCACAACATTGTCTGCAATGGAGGAATGAGTTGGGAAATATTTTGAGGAGAATGCTCATCCTTGATGTCTTGGTTGTCGTCTTGTTTGGTTTTCATGGCTGTATAATTGACCCATCTTTTTCTTTTTTCTCCTTTTCTGTTTACATAAATGTTTGGCTTAGAACCAAAGCAGGAAAAAAAAAAAAAAAAAAAAAAAAAAAATTACCTGACCAAATGAACAGCCAAGCAAAGTCCAAAGGACACATATTAAAAAAAAAAAATAAATAAAATAATCTGTAATGAAATGAAGAGGAGAAAAATATTTGTTGGAATCACTTGGTTTCCTAACATTTACAACCTGGGAAACATGAATTCTTTTCATAAGCATTTCTTTTATATATATATATATATATAAAAGAAAGAACAGTAAGATATATAATTCGGTGTTCTTATTGCAATTTTTTTGTGCTCAATGTAAATTTACAGTGCATAAATATTATAAATTAACTGATTTAAAATATGGTTTCTTCGCTACATAGTAATAAACATGTTTCAAAAACTGAAGCTAAAAACTTCAGTTTTTGAAACGTTTATTAATGTGTAGCAAGACACCATATTTTAAATCAGTTTATATATATATATATATATATATATATATATATATATATATATATATATATACACACACACACACACACACACACTATAATAATGTTTAAAATAATAAACATGTTGAATTCAAAATAAATCCATTAACCATAGAGAATTTTTTGTCATTGATTTGTTTACAGTTTATCAACCTTTCGCAGGTTATTTAAAAGCCAGAACATATTTATGGATTGTAAGAATTTTTGGATTTTATTGATACAAGCCCTACTATAAGAAAATGAACATGCAATGTTAAAAATGTTCAATAATTTAAATATTTTAATAGACTTAAACTGAAGAGAGAAATATTAATTAAAAGCAGATTTTATTTCTAATTATAACCTAGAATCTAATTATTTATAAACTTTATAAAGGTCTTAAAGCTTTAACTTAAAAAAAAAATTATATAAATGCTAAACTTAGGACAATACATGTTACGATATTTTCATATAATATAATGCAATATTTTCATATAATATAATGCAATATTTTCCTATGGTATTTACAAATAATGAAATCTGCCTTTAATCATAGTAATTGGGCAAAATAAGATTGCTTTAATGATTGAAAATACTAATTAGCAATCTTATTTTAAATAAAAATAATTTTTAAATACAGAGTGACCTCAGTTCTTGAATGTTTCATATGCTGAATAAATAGGTTTTTGGACAGAAAATTCAAGATGTAAATACCTCGGTTATCAAACAAAATTTCGGTTCTCGAATGACATTGCCAAATTGAGCTGAACCGAGTTAACCCAAATGGAATTGTTCCTTAGTTGACCACAGTGTTATATACATTTGTATGTTGTAATGTGCTTTTAGTTTCCAAAGTCCTTAGTCATGGATCCAATGAAAGCTAGCAATGATACTGGTAAAGGAAAAAAGAAAAGTTGAGAGAAAAACAGTTGTTGGTGATATTGTCTCTTCCTACTCAGTTTCATATGGCAAAATCAATGATCTATATATACTATTCTTATAAAGAGACTATCATGTCTATTCTTCTCTTTTCCAAACAATAACATCTCTTTCCTTCCCCTTACACCATCAACTCTCCTACATACAGGTACAGTAGATTTAAAGTGTTCATAGATATTTTATGTTTAGTATTGGTTTTATTTATTTTTTTCTTAGATTTAATGATTTTCATTAGTTTTATGTATAAACGTGCATAAATTACTGTTGTAAAAGTTTAAATAAGCAATCATCTTGGGACCAGGAACAGGTTAATCCATTTTACATTGATTCCTATTGGAAGAATAGTTTCAGGTTACGAACATTTTGGGTTATGAACAGGCTTCTGAAATGAATTAAATTCGTGAACCAAGGTTTCACTGCACTAAAATTAATTTTAAATCAAATCAGCTCAGGTGTATGTGAAGTCTTGCATAAATCATTCATGTAATTATGGACAATTTCTTCAAATCTTATCCTTACTCAGTATTTCATGATTTATCTTTGTTCTGAGGTCAGTGGCATAACCTTAGATCCTGTCAAAATTGTTCGAAGATCAGCTTATAATTCAACACTTCAGCTTGAAATAAGAGAAAAGTAGATTAAAAATGACTAGTTGCTAACAGGTTGAAAAAAAATAACGTTATAATAGGTGTCTAAAATTAATGAAAAAATAGAAACTATATATTCTATAAAAATAAATAAATTCCGTTATTTATATTTGCATTACCCATTATACCATAAAGAAAAATCAAGAATCAATACAAATATGTAATAAGAGAAAAATTTAAAAATTGCCTATCCAGGTTTCATAACCGACATTTTCCTGGCATCAGTTTAAACTGACACCTAATTTTTTCATACATCTAAACTATAAATATGAATTATAATTTTAGAAAGTGAAAATTTCACTGTAAAATATTGAAAAATTTCATCTGAAATCAAGAAAATAGGAACTTTAAGCAAAATGGTCACAATAAGTGGAAATAAAGGTTTCAGTTAAAATTGATATCTGGAAGATATGGTGGGGGATTTCATATGCGAATTCTACCAATTTATATTAAATGGAATTAAATTGAAAATAAAGACTTTTTTTTTTTTAATAAAAGATCAAATAAGTGATTGAGAATTTCTAAATACATTTTGTATATTAAAAATAAATATACAAGAAAAAGCCATAAGTATTACAAACTTTAGAAGGAAAAAAAACAAGAATTCATCTAAAATGAACGAAAACAATCAAGAGAAATTATGCCAGTTTTTCAATGAAGGATACAAAGTTATAACTATGACTGATTATACTAAATACAAATAGTATTAAAAATCTTTATTAAATTCAAATTTTGACACTAATTCCATATGAGAAAGGAATATGACCTTGAAGTACTTTTAACTATTTTTTTGAATTATTTCATCCCAAGACGCTAAGATACAAGGTGAAAGAATGGTGAGAAAATTCATTAAGGAGAGAGAGGACAATAAATGAACAGGACACAGAAAACTGCAATTAACATACATACTTCCCCTCCACACACACTTTACTACAGTTTCATTAATTAAGATTTTTTTCTCCTCAAAAGTAAGGGAAGTTTATTTAGGTTTTGTTCCATCAATTCTACTTAATAAAAAAATTTATAAGATTTTAAAAAGGCAAGCTCAAAAAAAAGATGAATGCCATATAAAGAAACGGAAATGAAGATCAAATATAAGATTTTTTATTTTATATAAAACTTATATAAAAAATGCTTCTCAGAGCACTCAAACTTATATATATATATATATATATATATACACACACAAGAATCCACTATAATAATGTTTGAATTAATAAAAATATCAGATTAAAAATAAATAAAACCTTTACAATCTTTTGTGATTGATTTGTTTACAGTTTATCAACCTTTGACAGGTTATTTAAAGCCAGAAAATATTTTTGGATTGTAAGAATATTTGGGATTAACCCATAGCTGGGTGAAAGAGATGGATTCATACCTTTCCCAAGAGTATTTGTGCATAAGAAAATATAATGAACACAACTGGAATTGGAATTTGGCACTCCGATTTCCAATTGCCAGATGTTCTCCATTACACCACCTGCACATCCAACCTTACAGCACCTGGTATTCCCAAGCAGTCACCCATTTAGGTAGTGATCAGAATCTAAACCTAGTGATTGAACAAGAACCAGTGTTTCAACATGATATGGCCATAAGCCTTAATTCTTTAGAAATTATATATAAACTAGTTGCTTGAAGTTTGTGGAACTTAAGTAGCAATTCAAGCCGTGCCTCGTGATGGCTTGATGCTGTAAAGTCTTTTTTGCTGTGTCTGCATAGCCTAGGCATTGAGCACTAATTTACTGCTTAGGTAGATATTTACCTTTTGGTCTTTTATTCTTTCTTAATTTGATCCACTCCCACCTTGTCTAAGGTTTTTCATGGTTTTTGCTTTCTTTGTTATGAGTATCCTCCCTCTCTATCTTTGTTTTTGACATCTTTTAGAAGGTAGCCTGTTGGCCACACCCCCATCACACACACACACACACATATATATATGCTGTACTCTCCTGCCGTTTTCGATATACGAGGGTCAAACAACTTAGTTCCTAGGTACCGACAGCCAGACACCTGCACACATGATTTGATTATAGTGGTGAAGGCTTTGTGCAGAACCACCCTTCCCCTAGACCAGCTGCCATCCAAGGCTATAGAACTCTGTCTGTCCTGCTATTTTCCCATAACGGGGGAGAGAAGAGGATTCATATCTTTCCCAAGAGTATTAGCACGTAAGTTAATGTAATGGATTCAACTGGAATTTGAAGTTGGTCCTGCAATTCCTCAATCCAAGCAGCTATCCATCCTACATATATATATATATAAAATCAATTTGAACTTTAGTTTTTAATTTGTAAAATTATAGCTATATTACATGTTATTTATTTTTAGCATTTTTGAGAATGTTTAAATTGTTAAAGCTCTCAGCTATATATATATATATAAAAATCAAAGAGAAAGAACAGGCAGATGAAGAATCCACTGTTCTTTACTTTTCATTTACTTTTGCTGATGATGGAACAATTATTAAGTTCTGAAACATAGAAATTTTTGTGTAGAGATGTAAAATATTTTATAATTATATAAGTCCATAATCAAATCTTATAATAAAAAATATTAGCACCTAAAAATGAAATCAGTATGCCAAAGGTATCAGCTTAAACAACAAATAATTCCACTTGTTGCTCATCATACAATTAAGACAGAGAGATCTGTTTGAGGAATAGTCTAATCATTGTAAAGATCTATCATAACCACATGACACAGATCTACTATAAACAAAATTAAGGATTTAACATCAAAATATTATGAATAATAACTTAAAAATGGGTATAAAATAATAAATATCAAAATGAGAAAAGCAGAAGATTATGTAATGAAACAGTCAAACAAAACTTTTTAGCAAAAACAGTCAAACACAGCTGTTCTCAAACCACTTGGACTTAAAGATGCACAACTCTCAAGTCTATGTTTTCATTTTTCAGATAATTTGATATCTAAACTTCTTAGCACAAACACTTAATTCTAACTTTTATCTGTTATGGTCAACACGTTTACACATTAATATAAAAAAAAAAAAATTTTAAACAAAAATAGAGTTCATGGATTCATTCAAAATATTGCTCAGCAAAACATGTTAAATTAATTTTCCAAATTGTCTTCTATAAAAAAGGAAACTACATCCAGTGTTTAACATTAAAAAGTATTCATAATTAAATCCCTCTGTTGACAAAACTTATCAATTCACCATTTTCATAACTATTCAAATCTTTCCGCTTGAGAATCCCTGGTTCAATGAAGCAATGAAGAGAAAAGATTGTTAACTACAGAAAAATAGTGAGACCAGACAAACAAAGATCTCTACCCCAAAACTGGCAAATGAAACAAAAAGGGAAGAAAAAAAGAAGAAAAAAAAAAGAAACAAGCTTCAACTAGTCATGTATGTAATATTATAGATTTAGTGAAGGATGCACAATGGTACAAAAGCCTGGCCCAGTAAATATGAATGATAAAAGCTGATAAAAGTCAAGAGAATAGGGTTACAATGAAAAGATATTCTCTTCTTTCTAATCACCCAACAAAAGAAAACTCTTTTGTTGTTGTTGTTGCCGAGATGTTCACTTCTCTGTAAATGTCATCAAAGTGCAAAACTGTGGTTGCTTATACCAAAGAAATGTCACACCTGAAGTTACTGTCTTAAGAACATACTGAAATGTCATACCCAATGATTGATAGACATTGAACCTACTTACATTAAAGCCAAGATAACCGAGGGCAGAAAATGTTATTTTATTTTTACATGTCAAGTAATATTTGTATTAAGAAATATATCAGAAATACAAATAATACAGATAGTAGATCAAAAGTCATATCGGAAAGAGAAAAATCATACAAAACCAATGTTTAAAGATAATTTTAAGTGATTATTGTATAAGTAAATTAGTTCTGTTCATGTACGTTGAATTTCCCTTGCTTGGTATCAAAAAGATGTTAATATATATATATATATATATATATATATATATGTATGTATGTAAGCAAATATATGGATATAGATCCGACAGTATGAAGAAAAATATACGGAAAAACAAACAAAAATCCTAATATGCAATTATGCTGTTTTTGTTTGTTTTTCTGTATATTTTTCTTATATATATAACAAAAAGCTTAACAGGAATTTTCTTCAAATGATATACATTATATTTTTTTTAAACACACGTTGATATTTTTCATATTTTATGAAGGTATATAAAAACATCATTTATAGCAATAAAAGATAAAATTTGAATTTCTTAAGTATTCATAATACTTAGAGAAAGTTGCATTAACTATTGTTTTCAATAAAAAAACAAAAAAAAACAAACTATCAAAAGCCATTTTCATTAAATTTTATGAGAAATAATTTGTATCTAAAGAGGGTTCATTTTTATCAATAAATGAACAATTTTAAGTCTTATCAATTTTCTAAAATGTAAACATAACAGAACATTACCTGAGGAGGGATTATATTATTCTACAAGAAATTACCAATTTACTGAAGTAAAATCATTTTTTTTAATTTGTACAAAATTAATTGTCTCTATATACAGGTAAGTTAATAAAATCTATAGCTTAACTAATAATAAAAACAAAAAGAAATTCACAAATATTTTTCAAATGCATTTAACCCAATACTTTGCCAGCTTCAACAAACCCTGTTCTGTAAAACTTGACATTTTGGTTCTCCTGAAAGGCTTAAATTACTGTGTCAGGTAAGAGATTTAACACTCCATTTTCACATCTTCCACCTTAGCAGAAAGTCCTCCTTTTCTTAAATAATTCTTCATTCAAAGAATCAATAACATCATCAAACACTAACTTGAAGCAAAGATTCTGATAAATTATTGAAAAGGTGGACGTGGAAGTTTTTATAAGTATGTACACCGGAGAAATAATTTTGTAATTAAGATATTAAATAATTCTGAACAAATTCATTACAGGTTTACCTAGACTTTGTTTACGAATTATTATTACATTTTAATGAATTTTTTGTTTTACTGTTTTTTACTGTCTTTTATAGCTTATCAACTTTTAGCAGGTTATTTAAAGCCAGAAAACATTTGTAGATTGTAAAATTTTTTGGCGACAATGGTTTATTGAAACATGTCCAACTAATTAACCTATAGCTGGAGGGAGAAGAGATGGAATCATATTTCCCAAGGCTATTGGCATGTAAGTGAATATAACGAACCTGACTGGCATTGGAACTACTCTCTGATTTCCAATTCCAAACCATTATCCATCACACCACCTGCATATACAGTCTTAAAGTACTTGGTATTCCAAAGCAGTTAACCATCTAAGTACTGACCAGGCTCGACAGAGCTTAACTTCAGTGATTGTATGAGAAACAGTGTTTCAACATGATATGGCCGTAAGCCTCTTTTATTGTTGGTTGAGATACTTGGTTTTTAAACCAATTATTATAACAGAGTGAAAGTATAAGTGTTAAAAAGAAACTAGCAGTAAACACAGATTCTTATTCTTTTTGACCAGCAATTAGCATTTATTTGTGAAGAGATGTAATTACCTTAATAATACTGAGTTTAATTGTAGATGAAAGATTTAGATTTAACACTTTCACTGTTGACTGACTGTTCTGGCCTCTTTATGGTGGAAGGGACAGAAAACTGCCACTTACTGGAAATAAATGACTATAAAGATGCTGATGGCAGTTTCTTATGGGCACCACCATTTTGGTTTATTCCAGTACATTCTAAGCCAAATGACATGACATACAATATAAAATATACATCACTAAAGAAGTCATATTATATGCCACTATATATCCATGCTGGTTTGAAAATAGCACTAAACCCAAGTTATTTTATAATACAAAAGCTAGGGACCAACATTTTACAGTGTCTTGAATATATATATATATATATATATATATATATAAAGCACAAAGAAATTATTTGTACACTCATCAATTTTGAACATTTTTATCCATTTCTCAGAATCTAATGCCTGTATGATGCCAGTTTTTTATGTTAATAAGGACACAAAAAAAGGAATATAAAACTATTTTCAGAACAATAGGTTAAATTCAACAAATTTGATGAGTGAATTATGCAAAATAGGAAAAAACAAAATTATTCCTGCAGTATGAAAAATAGAAAAAAAAACTGAACAATTTTCACAACATTAATAGTCAATAGCATGGCCTCTCATCTTTATAACTTGCTGCAATCGTTTTTTGAAGTTTTTGATGATATTTGAACAAATCTTTTCTGGGATTTTCTTCCATTTTTCAATGGTTACACGTTCTAATTCCTGAAGGTATTTTGGTGAGCAACCATTTATTCAAACTTTCAATTCTTGCCATAGATTTTCAATAGAATTCAAGTCAGGACTCATTGAAGGCCATGGCAGAACTGTAATCTTCTTTTTCTGAAGCCAGTCATTGATTAGATGTATGTTTGGCATTGTTATCTTGTGTTGATAGTTGTAGATTTTCATGCAGAATTTTGATATAGTTTGCAGATTTCATTATTCCTCTTATTGCAATTAATTATCCAGTCCCTCTTGAGCTAAAACAACCCCAAAACATCAGTGAGACACCACCACGTTTTAATGTTGCCACTGTGTTATTTGAGAGGAAAGCCTCACCTTTCTTGTGTCAAATTTTCTGTACATCATTATGTCCATAAAGCTCAATTTTTTTTTCATCACTCCAAAGTACTTGTTCCCAAAAACAATTTTCTTTGTCTAAGAATGTTTTGGCAAAAATTAAACCAAGCAACAATGTGACATGGTTTGTGAAGAGGTGTTCATTGTGTTCAGTTTCCATACAACGGATTTCTATTTAAACAATATTGTATTGTGTGAGTATTTACACTGATACTCATCATATCCAAACTTTTGGTAATGTCTTTCAAAACAACACTTGGGCTTATATTGATCTCGTAACAGTTTTCGTGCAGTTCTTGATGACAATTTCTGTTTTCTGGCATACTCAGGTAAATTCTCTGTCATGTCAAACTATTCAAACTTCTTTATAACGGACTGTACTGCAAATCTAGGGATAGTTAACTTTTCTGAAATAGTGCTGTCATTATTTCCTGACTTGTGGAAGTTAATAATTCTCTGTCTCAAGTCAATGATAAGCTCTTTTGTCTTCCCCATCATGTTAACGTAAGTATAACAATTTGTGGCATTATGCACCACATGATGTTCTTTGCTGGAATTATAAATATTCTACTGATAAAATAATTATGTAAATTACTTGTAATTACACAAATCAATTAATTTAAAATTATATTTTCTACTGTACGAATAATTTTATCTTTTCCTAACTTGCATAATTTGCCTGTCAAATTTGTTGTATTTAACCTATTGTTCTGAAAATTGAGTTTTATATATATATATATATATATATATATATATATATATATATATATATTATTTTGTGCTTATTAACATAAAAAGCCTGGCGTTATACTGGCATTAGATTCTGAGAAATGGATAAAAATATTCAAAATTGATGGGTGTACAAATAATTTTGTCATTTTACATATATATATATATATATATATATATATATATATATATATATATATATAGGGCCTTCTCCCCCACTGTTCAAGGAACCCCTCCATGATTGACCATCTTTTCAGGGTTGTAGCCATACTCATAACACTTGCAGGTTAGTGAGGCTATTTAACCCATAGTTGGAGGTTCTGAATTCAGAGTTTACTTTCTCCTTGACTGGTTGGCACCCAAGGCTAAGGATTCTGTCCCTCCTGCTATTTACCCACAACTGGAGGAGAGAAAAGATGGATTCATTCCTTTCCTAAGGGTATTTGCATGTAAGTGAATGTAACAAACTCACCTCTCCAATTCCTCAATCCAACTTTATCTTTCAGACATTTTTAACTACTTGGAATCAATCAATGAGAAATCTTCAGAAAATCTTTGTTCTGGAGACTGATGAAATACTTCATTGGCATTGATTGTATATAGTACAGATATACAGCTATTTGACATTTAATATACAGCTCTTGCAAATATATTGCTTGAGTTCTTTTCCTCATCACAGTAAAAAAAAAAAATTCAAGCTTTATAATTATTATTATTTGATTTAATATCCTCTCTAATTCTTAGATATTTTGGCTGGGTGATGATGGTCAGATCTCAGCTCACATCTATACTTTTTCTTTTTATTGAATGTTTATGAAATTTCCATCTTCAGTTCATTTTAGTTCAGTCATTTAACATGTATCCTTATTGATAGGGGGATGGGAGGAGGGAGAAAAGAAGTGGAGGGGGTGGTGAGGAAAAATTAATCTATTCATTTCTCTATCAAATGCATCTTCATTAATCACATAAATGAAACATTATACAGTGAAAATTTCAGATCAGTATTCAGTTCATACTTGCTAGGTTACAAACTTGATTCATGCACATCTTGCCTTTTTTTTCACTTTTAAAATTAAAATAATTATCGCCAACAAAAGAGAAAAAAAAAATTTTTTCCCTAAACAGTTTTAGTTTGTCAGTATTGTACACCTCAATTCTTTGTTTCTAATGTACATGATTGTGTGCTTAAATTTGGGGTTGAAAACTACACAGCAGTCAAATCATCCAATTTCAATTTGAAATGTTTCATTCCTAGCTTTGCGAAGGTCTTTTCCTTTCATGTGCCAAAGCCAATTAGCTCTCAAGAGAATCTTTTTAGAAATGAGGTCAACATTTTATCTGGAAGCATTGCTTTGATGTTCATCCGGTACATATTTTTTTTTAGCAGAATATAGACAAATATTAAACGAGCATCTTTTTAAGTTGAGTTACATTCATTATAGCTGATCACAAAGCAAATGGATGTTGGGCATTTTTGTTATTGGTTTAGGTTCCTGGGTATTTGCACAATTAATCATCAGAGGAAATGAAAGTTAGGAGATTGATGTCAAAGGTTGGATTTATTAAACAAAGCTTATATAAGTATCTCTTAACAAAAGCTGACATGGGTAGGTGCCTATCAATAAGACAACAAAATGTCAAGTTTCATAATTTTTTTTTTTTTTTGCAGGGAGATTTCATGCAGTGCCTGCAAAATTCAAACATTCTAATTTTAATCAGGTTACATTACTAACATTTCATTAAACTTGACTTATTTGTGAAGAAAAAGTAAGAGACCTGTTGGAAAACAGGCATTATTCCCAAAACCAATTTAACAGGTCTCTTAAAAATACTTAGTTCATTTTCATTATAGTCAAGTGCCATATGTGATACACACTTTGATGATCATATCTCTTTCAATTCATGACTGATGAGGCAAAAAAATTTCTTGCAGTTGGCTGCCATTTCTTTCTGTGGTAGACTGGTTGCCTACTAAGGCTATAGGGCCTGGTCTGGCTTGATGTTCAACCCATAGCTAGGGAGAGAAGAGATGGATTCATACCTTTCCAAAAGGTATTTGTGCATTAGTGAATATAATGAACCCAACTTGAACTCAGCTCTCTGTTTTATCATTCTGAGCCATTATCCATTACACTAGACTGTACATCCTTTTATTATAACCAAACCAGAAAACAACTGGGTATGGTTAATATGGATAGAAAAGAAAAAAAAAACTAGGTACAAACAAATAAGACTGATTATAGCAAGTGCAAATTTAAATGATTGAGATTATGCTGGAGAAGTTGGAAAAAGTTTTTGTGACGTGTTAGGAATTCATTAGATTATGTTTGTTTACGTTATTGGGACTACACATACGCATGAACGAGACTTGCTGGGAGTTTCAAACTTTAGAAAGAATATTTTTTTTTTTTTTCAATCTCACCAAATTCAACTATAAATCATTTTCCTTTCCATCAACTTTGTTATTAAATATCCCCCATTGTGATAACAGAAAAATCTGCCAAGAATTGTGAAACATAAGAATCTGGAAGTAAAATTTACTATGGATGAACTAGTGATTCATTTTCTAGACATTTTCATCTTTGTGAATTATTTTCTCTTAATTAGAGCAGCATTTTTTATGTATCTCTTATTCGTGCACAATTCATAATCACAATGACAAGAAGTCCTAACAGATGAAACATGTCACAAAAACTTTTTACAATTTGTCATACATCTTTTCTTTCAAAATTGTTCTTGATATATAAAAATTTATATATCGTTATCCCATATATATATATATATATATATATATATATATATATATGGTGCAATGGATAAATTGTCATCTAAATCATGCAAAAAAATAAAAACTGACATTTCATTTTAACAAATATATTTACCAAAATAACAACAACATCCTCCAGACAACTTCGAAATTTCCTTCAACTCTTCTGGACAGTATCCTTGTTTAAGTTGGTGAATGCTGCCATAATCCTTGCCTTCAGTTCATATTTGGTGCTACAAGGAGTTTTGTTGGTCTCTCGCTGAACTGCACCTCAGACATAATAATCACAAGGGTTGCAGTCTTCTGGGGGAGTTAGATGACCAGATGTAAGGGGTGATGTGGTCACATAAATTGTCTGATAGCCATGACTGGGTTCTCCTGCTTGTGTGACATGGTACAGAGTCCTGTTGCCCTTCCAGCAACCACTCTCTCAGCCCAGGGCAGCACTAACTTCTCACGGCACTTGATGTAAGCCTCTGTGTTGAGGCTGAGGCCCTGTGGGAGATGAATGGAGGCATAACGTTGCCATCACTATTGATCACTCTAAACACCATGATGTTGACTGAATATTTGGTTTTCATCAAAATCTCAGTACATCTTTTGGGGATAGAGTAAGCCAACACTTATTCTGTGTATTCATCTTATCCTGGAAGAAATTTTTCTTGTCTGAGAAAAACCAAAGCATGTTTGGTTGGAGGGAATTCTTGAGTTTGTCCTTCATGGCTTGGGATAAAAATTATCCCTTTCTCGTCTTGTATGAGAAATACTGGATGTCTTCATGCACTCTCTGCCTGATAAGAAACTCAGACATTCCTGTGTTCCTGGTTATGGACCTGATTGACTTGGAGGGATTGCTGTCAATCATAACCGGGATTTCATCAACAAATTCAGGAGTTCTTTTCTCAGCAGAACAATTAGAGTGAGTTTTCCAAGCTGCTGTACCTTCGTAATCGCCATTAGACTCATCCAACTCTTTCTAAATCCTCAGATTGACACCCTAACACTATGTTCATACTGGAGCTCCCAGTGAATGCCAAGCAGTACAGCATGCCATTTCCAAATTTCTGATGGAGTGAATTGCGCCATGGTGCTCTTTCTCACAGATGGTGCCCAACTGACCCTACTTAACTGTGCAGTCAACAAAATCAAAAACAAACATTGTATATGTGCAAAATTAAAAATATAAAACGGTGACAAGTTATCCATTACACTATATATATATATATATATATAAAAATCACAAACAAAACCATATATAAACTTTTCTTTTAAACAATACTACCAAAAGAAAATGTAATAATTATATCAGCATAATAAAAAAGTATTGCATATGTTCCCAGGTTATCTTTATCAAAGACATACATTAACTGTACGAGCCCAAGAGTAGAGAGTAGAGCTACAAACCGTTGTAGTCTACCTTCAAAACTGGACTGTTAATATTCATAACATGTTTACACAGGAGATTGAAAACTGATTTTAAAAAACTCTTTTTAGTGGCATAACCCAATAAAAAGAGTTCTCACCTAAAACAAGTAAAAATATCAAATGTAAAGCCCTCATAATGTTCAGTTTTCTAAATATGAAATGGTTTTCAGAAACAGAAAATAAAAAAATCTGAAAATTCCATGTTTATTTCATCAAATTAAAACAGAAATCACAGTCATTGTGAAGAGGAAAGGCGAATAATGAAAAATTAGACAGACTTTAACTGAAGGGGAGGGCAATAACATTCCAAAGACATGGGGGAGGGGAGCAACAACTGAGGCATTTATTATTCATGGACAATGGGAGAGAGAGAGAGAGAGAGAGAGAGAGAGAGAGAGAGAGGGGATTGTATCTATGCAGTTCTTTCTTACCTGGTTCATTCTCTTCTTGCTCACTCTCTGGAATATGATTCAAGAAAGCTAACCCCTTGTCGACCAATAATTCATTGATTGACACATTTGGCGAGTCAGGATTGAAAAGAATCACTTGGCAAGTTTTGCTCTCATCTGATGGAAAAAAAAAACAAAAAACAAAAAAACATGAAAATATTTACAAAAATATTTTAAAAAATTAGCACTTAAATCTTAAGATTTACAAACCCCTAATATTCTGATTTACACGGCATTTTAAACTTGTTCATGTTGGTGTGCACAAAAACTGGGAAAGGGCCATTGAACATTTACAAGGAACAGAAGGTAAAATTATTGAAACTGTGAGAAATGAAAACAAATTCTGTTTTCAATATATTTGGTTGTTTATTCAGGAATTCACTGATCTGGGAGGTAGGTCGTCTTCTGCTACTTTTGATACAACATCTCCCTTTAGATCTCCAACTCGGTCATTCCTCTGCACACCTATAAACGTGGTTCACAACTCCCTAACAAGCAGTCTAGAACTCTCAAGAGATAGCCTGAACCCCACCAACAGGCATGCAAAGGAACTACCTTCAATTTTAACTGAACTTTCTAACTTTTGGCCAAGTGGCACTTGTTCCTGAAAGTTTACATTTATTAATCATTTTTATTCCCTTTTGGTCAGTTGGTGGTCACTTTGAAGATCTCACTTCATAGACTTTACTGCTGATCATAAAAACACCAGAACCTTCAGACTTGGATAAAAACATTTATTGTCCACTTCTATTTCAGTGCTCTGGTCCAATTCTACAGGGGGTTGGTGCATAGTGCCATAAATGTTTATTTCAAAATAAAAGCTAATTATTTAGTGTTATTTTTCATTTACATATGTTCTATCCCAATTTATATTTTCCTAAATGTTTCTAGGCTATGATGACCATTTGTAGTTATAATAATCTGAAATTTGATCTAATAGCAAGATGTCTTTTTCTGAAAAAAAAAAAAAAGTTCTTACCAAGACAAATGGTGGTTGCTTTCAATTTTCTTTCTTGACCAACAAGAGAACCAAATTCTTTCCTTGATAAGTCAGACTGAATTTCATCCTGGCAAAAAAAAAAAAAAAAAAAACATGCATGAGCAGAAAATTTTAAAAATAAGCATTATAATTGTAATATTAATGTATTGGTACAAAAATATTTGCCAAAAGCATTAACCAGTTGAAATGTCATTTGAAAGTGAATCAACATAAGCAATTAGTGATTTTATTGTTTCACTACTTGTCTCATGCAGTAACAAAAGACAAACTTACTTCTGGGGGAGCAATGCCGTATAATCCACAAAACACAGCTTGTCTCGGATATTTAACCACACTTTCAGGGAGTCTTGTAATCCGATTAATGGGAATCTTCTCAGTGTTGCCATAATCAACATAATAAACCTCCACTTCATTCTGGGCAACAAAAAAAAACAGAATTTATTGATCAATCATCAAAGAAAAAATAAAACGGTGACGATAGAAAAAAATATTTAGAAGAAAATAGTTCAGAATAGAATTTAATGAGAATCAATCACAAATGATTTATCAAATTGTAGGTCAATCAAAAAATGAAAATTGCTGTAATAACTGTAGGGACAGAGTAAATAGCAAATACATTGATTTCCAAATCCTTCTCACTCCTGTTGGAGGAACCTCTCCCTAACTGACACTGTTTTCAGGGTTGTAGCCATACACACCATACTTGGCCAATTCTTTGTTGGTCAGGCTATTCAACTCATAGTCAGAGGTTTTAAATACAGAGTTGTCCTTCTAAACCAGTTGCCATGCAAGACTAAGTCTGTCTTACTATTTACCCATAGCTAGGGGGAGAAAAGATGGATTCATACCATTCCAAATAGTATTAGCACATAAGTGAATGTAATAAACTCAACTAGAATTTGAACTCTGATTCCTCAATCTGAGCCACTATCCATGACTCCACCATACCTGCTTAAATTAAAGTATTGATGGTGACAATTTAAACTAGTATGCCAAAAATTTAGCATTTTTTTTTAATTTCATACTTAGTTACAAATTTATAGAGGAAGAGAGCTCAATATTAGAAACAGAGTGTTTATAGATATAAACAGTGGGAACACAAAAATCAACACTTCATGGTGACTGTCAGTTTCATACCTCAAGCAATCTTCATATTTGGTCAATAATTTTTCAGTTTGATTTTTTTTTTATTACTAAATAGCACTATTAGATATACGCAAAATTTATTCAGAGATTATTCAGTCATTAATGGGAAAAAAAACGCTAACATTTGAGCATTGGCACCTGAAGTCCCCATCATAGTGTTCTTATTGGAAAACACATAACTAGTATTGTCTTCAATTTTCTGAAAAATTCTTTCTACCTCACCATCAGCCGTTTCTTTGCATTGTTATTTTTGCTTACAGTTTGAAATATGTCCACACACACACACGTTTTCTTTTTTATATATTAACTGGTTTTATTTTAAGTGTTGCATTTTGCCTAGAGATTTGAATTTGGTATTTTTTTTATGTGTGTGTATGTGTATATATTTATTTTTTTCTATCCATTTCTATATATTTTATTGTCTTTTTTTTTTGTGCTGTTCATTGACGAATATTTTTCTATTCTACCTCTCGTAAATTTTATCGATTGAACCCTATTTTTATCTATATACCTTTGGCCCATGTAAGTAATATTTTAATAGTTTGAATTCGTTTACTAACATTTTCAAATTTGAATATTTGTAGGTGTGTACATGTGTGTGTCTTTATTATTGTATGTGTGTATGATCGCTTATATATGCTTTTCATTGTATGTATATGTTGTCTTTTTTTCAGGGTCATAGACATCTATTTCCTGTTTCGTTCATGTTTTTGTGTGTTTATATATCTAAATATGTCTACATGTTTGTGTATTATAATCTGGTTGTGTATGTATTGTCTTTTGCAAGATTTCATCCTCCCCTGCCCATATCACCACATGGAAAATTATGAAATCGAAATCATTCAGTTTTTTAAGTGCTATATCACTACTAAGCGACCATATCCAAACACTATTGAAAAAGACTTTCAGATGTGAATAAAATTAAATTTTATCAACATTTATACCATTGTAAGAGAAAAAGATTGAACAAAAATATGTTAAAAAACATTTAATTGACTAGTTTTAGGAAATAAATGTGAAACCTATTTGTTTACAAAAGAAATGAAGAAAAAAAAAAAAGAAGGAAATATGACATGATGTCTGAAAAGTAAACATCTATTTGTTTCAGTTTTCAAAACAAAACTTTTTGTGGTAAAATTAAGTTAACAAAATAGCAAGTAAAAATAAAAAATTAGTTGCTAGTTTTGTTTTAATGTTATGAAGTTGGATTTTTGTGATTGTTTTCTAGTAAGCCAATACGCCAATCACGAAATAAAGTTGTTGTAAACAAGAAAAATGAATGAAGATCTTTTTTACTAAATAAATTTGATTTTTATCTAGGGAATGCACCTAAATTAGATATTAAGAATAATTAAAATAGTTCTTAATTTTATTTTTAAAATGTGTATATTTCCAGATATGCAAATGTCTGTTTTCTACAAATAAAATTGTTTCTATCTAGCAAATACACATAAAATTAGATATTAAAAAAATAAAGTAAGTTTTAATCTCAGTTTTAAAATGTGTATATTTTCAAAACTGCAAGTCATTTTTTTAAACCCAAAGTAAAAATTCTTTTTTTAGCCTCTAGTGTTCAGTGGGTGTTTGTTACTGTTCTGCCTATAAAATTCTTCTAGACAAGGAAAATTAATTCATTTTATTTTTACAAACATATTTACTTTATGGTTTTATCTGGCGAATAATACACTTATATAATTAAGATTATATTAAAATGATTAAAATAGTTTTAAAATGTGTATCTAAAAAAGAACAGGTGATACTCACAGATTTGGAAATTTACACATTCTAAAAATGAAATTAAAAGCTTTTAACTATTTTTAACATTTAATTTTACGTGAAATTTATTTGCAAAACTTCAATAATAGTCAAAACAAAACTTTTTGTGGTAAAATTAAGTTAACAACAAAATTGCGAGTAAAAATAAAAAATTAGTTGCTAGTTTTGTCTTAATGTTATGAAGTTGTATTTTTTGTGATTGTTTTCTAGTAAGCCAATACGCCAATCATGAAACAAATTGTTGTAAACAACAAAAATGAATGAAGATCTTTTTTACTAAATAAATTTGATTTTTATCTAGGGAATGCACCTAAATTAGATATTAAGGATAATTTAAATAGTTCTTGATTTCACTTTTAAAATGTGTATATTTCCAGATATGCGAGTCTCTAGCATAAAATTGTTTGTTTTCTACAAATAAAATTGTTTCTATCTAGCAAATACACATAAAATTAGATATTAAAAAAATAAACTAAGTTTTAATTTTAGTTTTATAATGTGTATATTTTGAAAACTGCAATTCATTTTGTTTTAAACGCAAATTAAAAATTCTTTTTTAGCCACAGTACTGCCTATAAAATTCTTCTAAACAAGGAAAATTAATTCATTTTATTTTTTACAAATATCTTTATGGTTTTATCTGGAGAATGCACTTAGGATTATATATTAAAAGGATTATAAAATAGTTTTTAATTTCAGTTTTAAAATGTGTAAAGAACAGGTGATACTCGCAGATTTGGAAATATACACATTATAAAAATGAAACTAAAGCTTTTAATTATTTTTAATATTTAATTTTAAGTGTAGTATTCGCTAGATAAAAACATTTATTTAGGAGGAAAAATAACTTATTGATTTTCCTTGTTTAGAAGAAATTTATTAGTAAAACCCCAATAACAGTTGACTGGCATACCAGAAATGAATAAATTAAATAAACTTTAATCCAAGTCATGAATTCTATGACTAAATTACCTTTAAATCCTAAAAACTAACTTTAGGTGAACAATTCCTACTTTATTACCCACCCTCTTTTGTGGTTTTTGAGTTTTCAATTTCCGTGGCCTTTAATGCATGTCTATAAATTTTTATTACCCTTTAAAACGAAATATTGACCCCTTACGCACCAATTAACAGACTTCCACAATGACAGACATTTCAAACAACAACACTTGAAAGTTGAAAAGTATACAGGGCATTTATTTTACGCAACAAGACAGTAGCTTCAATAATTTGAAAGTTCTTTTACCACACATACTATCAGTTAATCTTTTTTTTGCTGCTTACTTTATAATTTTTGAAGGAATTTGCTTTCATGGGTCAGAGAAGAAATAAACATCTTCCTGGTTGTAGCTTAAGGTGTCTTGTAAATTAGAAGATCAAGTGCACAATTTCAAGAATATTGATAAAGATTGGTAACATTGATTTTGTGAAACAAAGTAACATGTAAAATTTAATCTATTAAAAAAAAAAAAAATACAAAAAAACATTTTTCGCCGTTTCTGCTGTTCAAAACAAAATACTGTTTTAACGTGCTTAAAAATATAATTCAATGAATAAAATCACATACAAATTATATATTTAGAAAGATTATTTTATTTTCTTTCCAGTCATATGAATATTTTTAAGATTGGACCAGATATAGATGAGAGTTTGCGAGTTGCAAATTTATCAATGTCAAACAAAATCAGATATTGACTAGAAATGCTATCATTACACAAGAAAATGAATGGTTTTCTTAGAAAGTGAAAATACTAAATTAAAAACCAAATTAAAAACCAAATCAAAAACCCTGGTATCAAGGGAAAGAAACCGGAAACCGATACCGAAACAGAAGTTGCCAAACCGCCCAACTCTTATATATAAGACACGGTGCGATGAGTAAATTGTCACCATTTTATATTTTAATTCCATGCTTGAGTATTGTTTGTTTTTGATTTTGTCGACTTCACAGTATAGTAGAGTCAGTTCAGCACTGTGAGAAAAAGAGCACCCTGATGCAATTCACTCCACCAGAAATTTGGAAATGGCATGGGTACTGCTTGGTATTCGCACCAAAAGCTCCAATATGAAGATTTCAGAGTGTCTGGGTGTCAATCTGAGGACAGTGCAGACGTTTTGGAAAGAGTTGGATGAGCCTGATGTAGATTATGAAGGAACGGTAGCTTGGAAAACTCACTTTGATTGATGAGAAAAGAACTACTGAACTTGTTATTGAGGGGCTCACACTCAACACGGAGGACTACATCAAGTGCCTTGACAAGGTTGTGCTGCCCCAAGTCAAGAGAGTGGTAGTTGGAAGACCCTATGTCTTGCAACAGGATTCTGCATCATGCCACACAAGCAGGAAAATCCAGTCATGGCTGTCTGAGAATTTCAACAACTACATCACCCCTTACATCTGGCCACCTAACTCCTCAGACTGCAACCCCTTTGATTATAATATGTGGGATGCAGTTGAGTGAGAGACCAACAAAGCTCCTTGTAAGATCAAA